CACCAACCTTATAAACCATGGACATTTTACATTGCATTGTGTTACGATATGGAATCACAATGTATTTAATCAGGAATTTTTGCCCAAATTCTACAGAATCTCCGAAATTCATTATACATATAAAACAAAAAATAACCAATTGAATAGGTATTCACCCTCCTTGAGTTAACATTTGGCAGAGGTACCTCTGGCAGAAATTACAGCCATGAGTCTTCTTGGTGAAATCTCTCACATGTGCTTTGCAAACATACAACTTAGCGTTGAGCCCAAAAAGGTCAATTTTATCATCAGACCATAGAATCTTTTTTCCGTTAGGGCTCCCACGTGCCTCCTGGCAGACTGTAATCAAAATCTGATGTGAATTTTTTTCAACAATGCCTTTCATTTTGCCTCTCCAGAGTCCAGATTTGTGAAGTCCCTGGGAATTGTTGTCATTTCTTAGTTTGTCAGTTTCTTCCTTTTCCACTATGGAAGAGCTTAATGCCTTTAGAGCTGTCACAGGCCTCTTGGTGGCTTCCCTGGTTAGTGTCCTTCTTACCCATATACTCAGAGCTTGAGGATGCTCTGTTCTACACAGATTCACAGTTGTGCCATATTTTTTCAATTTCTTCATAATGGACTTCATTGTGCTTTTGTGGTATTCAATGCCTTGGAAATCTTCTTATACCCTTCCCCTGATTGCTGCTTTTCAATCATCCTGTCCCAGATTTGCTTTGAATATTCCTTTATCTTCATTAGTTTATGGGGCACTGTGTTAATCAACTGCAGGAGCTCCCAGAGATAGGTGTGTTTAACCTGAGCTCTGTAAAACAACCTAATAGCACAGATTTGACTCCATTCAACTAATTATGTGACTTCTAAAGACAATTGGTTGTACCTGACCCAATTTACAGTACGTGTGCTGTAGCAAAGGGGGTGAATACTTATGCCATCAGTTATTTTCTGTTTTATATTTAGAATTAATGTTTCAATCAATTGAAAAATATCCCAATTAAATACATGATGACTCCATATTATAACAGAACAAAATCTGAGAAATTCCATGGGCGGTGAATACGCTTGATAGCTCACATGTGTGCCTTTGTGTTGCATGTGAGAGGAGTGCAACAGTCTGTAAAATGTAAAATAATATAATGTATGTGTGTAGCCTTAGAATGAACTGTGGACTGTGCGAATGGAGATCTCCACTGGTAAATAAAGCTGACAGGGTGTTCTAGCCTGTGGCCTTGCCCATTGGAGCACTATGTGCCACCCTGTTAGGTTGCATGATAAAATTAATGCAAATGAAAATGAATGAAAACTGAAGAGCTGCAGGGTGGAACAAACTGCTCTTGAGGACACCTTCCTCCCCTTTGGCCATGCATGCGGGGAAACAAAAGAATAGGAAGGTGGAAGGCCTGAAAAAAAACCGCAGTGATGTGTGAAATAAGAGACATGTTTATAGAGAGCCCCCTGCGTAGGCATTTGATTGATGGGTGGCATCTTGATCCAGAAAAATACCATTTATTAACTTTTACATTCACGCATTACAGTCTGTCCTATAAGAACTTCTTTTATAAATGGATTTCACTGACTTTGCAGCTAATGTGTATTGACACTCACGGCCAAATCATTGTAAACTGTGCACACACGATAATTTCTTGTGATAATATAATATATAATATAGGAAACATCACATGATTTATAAAATAGATTTTCACTCACATTCTACTTGGTTACAAAGTAACCAGTCACAATATAAAGTAATCAAACAGTACAATATATTAATGTAATAACAACATTTGCCACATTGTCTTTTCACTATACTGTAGGTGCCAGCTGTTTGGTAGATCAGCAATTCCATTATCTAGTAGCTTTTGAAAAATGTTCTATTATGTCTGACATCTATAATTTGTCTAAGGTTTAGAAGCATTAACTTAATTCATTTATTTTTTTTCATTTGCCTGCTGCCAATTTCACAAGAGCAAAAAAGGAACACAAGATATAGTCAGAGCTTGACCCAGTTTTAGGGGAGAAATACACACAGGGCTAGCCTGCGGACAGTAACATTCCATTTAAATCTATAAACCTAAAACAGAATTGGAAAAAACAAATATGGCACAGAAAAATCCTGGCTGCTGATATCAGACCAGATCGAAGCTGTCAATAAACTAGCAGATGGATCAAGTTCTTAGGTTGCTAATCTATCTGCTTTCACATCCATTAAGAAGGATAAGAACTACAGACAATAAAGCGACTAAGAGATTTTATGAAATATCAAAATCTGTTCAATGGAAACAAGACATTAATTTCTGAGAGTCCCTTCTGTTATGTGATGGAGTACAGTAGTATAAAAATCAACACAATTACATTCTTCTACATTAATGTTTGTCTGAGCCCCAAAATATTACCATATTCGTCAGCATGGTATTGGATTATGATGTTAATGAGCACGTTTGTTGTTGTTTACTTTTGGAAGCTTTCTATAATTCATGTGAAACCCTGTTACGCACTTTAGCTTTTTTGTAGCTTTTAAATTGAAGGATAGTAGAACTTCCCTTTCAAATTATCTAAAAAAAACCTAAAATGATATCCTTTTAAAAAGTCACATTAGACATTTGCTAGTTTAAAATGGTAATTATTAGCTGAAACTAAATAATGTTTTTTTCTTAATTTCATATGTTCTTACTTTTATTCCTCTTCAACAACGGTGTTTAAAAGACAGTAGTGTAGTTTTTTCTACATTTCATTGCTGCTTTTTTTGCACATCCTGCTTTACAGTATATATTCTGCATCAATAATGTTAATTTGTTCTCTTTTATTCACTTTTTAACCCTGGTTTGACAAGCCATTTTTAAATCTTTTGAGATGATCAGTAGCTATCATAGTGAAAAAGAAAGGAATCGAAAACTAACCCAGGAACAGGAAAGTACTGGTGGTAATGGTTCATTTAATAAGAGACGTAGATGCATTGTGTGCTTGTAGTTGAGTGTGCAAGTACCCAAGTGTGTAAGTTTAGTCTTTGCATTTGAGTTAATAAAATGGGGGATGTACATTTGTTTTGAAATTAATCCCTAATCCTTAGCCCCCAAATGTACAACACTTTATCTTTGATTTGAGCCTCCAAAATTCAGTTGGATATTTTTATCTTAAGTCTTTGTAGAGGTCTTGTGGAAGAAGCCTTAATCATGTGTGAAGAGTTCCGTGTCCTTTATTTTGATTGGTATTTTGAGCATTATTTCATGGAGTACTAGGGAATCTTGATCATTTCACAGTTATTGAGAGTTGTTGCAGTATAGCTTGCAGTACATTTTAAACAGCTGTTAAATAATTGTTTATTTCTCTATGGTTATAGAGAATGCTGGGGAAGAATCTAAGACTTTAACTAGCAGTATTATTAAAATATGGTTCAATACACTACATTGAACTCCTGGCATCTAGCTATGGAGCAATCAATACTGTATATTTGCCTTAGGGTTATTTTCACTTATATATCAGATGTTTAATGAAAAACAAGGCCAATTAAGCAATGTCATGGGTGATGAAATTACATTCCATATCAAGTGATGGTTCTGTTTATCTACAGAAAAAGGAGAGCTTTGAACTGGTGGTCCACAATCTATATGCAAATACATATAATGTATAAAAGAATGAAGGATACGTGAGATGTGACATATAATTAGAACAATAGCTCCTTCACACAGAACCTAATTAAAGCACTAACCTGACCTAATTGAGCTATCAATCTTCTCTGACACCGGGGGTTTACAGGACAAAAAAGGTTTTATGAGAGAAATATTGAAATTCCATACAATTCTAAACAGTTTGTTAAGTTAAATACAGTCTTCTGATTATTTATTTGAGTGCTGTGAAGAAAAAAACGTCATAGATTATTACCTTTCATACTCTGACTATTGCATCCAACCATCTATTGTCAGAAATCTGCTTCTTCCAGGGATGGGTCAAGACATTCTGACTGATTGGTTTCTGAAAAATTGCTTCTGGCCTCTTGACCAGAATCTGAATTTTAATAACAAGTCAATAATATTTAGATATCTCTGAATCAAATAAAATCATTTGAAATGTTGACTTCACAAGAAAGAAGACTGGTAGAGTATACAATGTAGATTAAAGATAAACTGTAGTAAAAACTAAAAGAAGTCTGTTCTCATGTACTATAGCAGTGCTTATGCTGAGTAAAAAAAAAATCAACCATATACATTTTGAGCAAAGATGAATGTTTATGTTATGCTGTTGCCAAGATAAAAGAAAATGACAATTATTAAAGACATCTCAAATGGTTAAACCCTTTACTGAACCAGACTTTTAGAAAACAAACTAAAGCCTTCAATGAATTTGTTTGTTTAATATACTATAAGAAGCTGAACATGAAGAACAAAATAGCAACAAAATTCTTTCTGGCACATCACACGTACTGCAAATGGTGTTGACAAGAGGAAACTACTCCACGTGGAATCTCTGAATGAAGATTGAAGAATGAATTGAATAAATGCAGACAGCAAAAGCTGGAACATGAAGTCTGACTTTTCAATAAACCTCTACAGTGGAAGGGGAGTTTTGCAGGTCACATCTCATTTGATCTGTTCTGATCCCAGAACAAAGAAAATCTTTGTACGAGGACATTTATGTAGTTTACTGTTTGTCAGTCATAGTAGTCAATATCAGAGGTACTGTATAACAATCCATACTCTTCTATAAAGGCTGTTGAAGAAAAATTAATTGATCAAAGTAGCTGAACTTTAAATGCTAAAAGAGTTAAAAAAATACCACATTCAGATCATTTACATCTACAGTACAGTGAAGACATGCTGATTTAAATGCTAGCAATCCAATCATTTAAACTGCCTTCTAATCTCACAGTACTGATTCTTAACCTCAAAGGATTTATTATAAAATTACTTTGTTATCGTACAGCATGCAGGTTTTGTAGGACTGGGTTATGCTTTATAAGCAATTTATCTGTTTTTAATTTTAATGGAGCTTTATTTCTTTTCCAACAGGTAATGTGTTTGTGGTGAGCCTGGCCTTCGCTGACCTTGTGGTGGCATTTTACCCTTATCCTCTTGTGCTGTTTGCCATTTTCCATGATGGATGGTCCCTAGGGGATACTCACTGCAAAGTGAGTGGTTTCTTCATGGGCTTGAGTGTGATAGGGTCTATCTTCAACATCACTGGAATAGCAATAAACCGGTACTGCTACATTTGCCATAGCTTCACTTACGACAAACTCTACAGCTACAAAAACACCCTGCTGTTTGTGTTACTGATATGGCTGCTGACCGTCGTCGCAATCGTGCCAAATTTTTTCGTTGGGTCACTACAGTATGACCCCCGTATCTACTCTTGCACTTTTGCCCAGACAGTCAGCTCCTCTTACACGATAACTGTGGTGGTGATCCATTTCATTGTCCCCATTATGGTGGTGACATTCTGCTACCTGAGAATATGGATCTTGGTGATTCAAGTCAGAAGGAAGGTAAAGAGTGAAGTCCGGCCCAGACTGAAACCCAGTGACTTAAGGAACTTTCTCACCATGTTTGTGGTATTTGTCCTCTTTGCAATTTGTTGGGCACCCCTGAACTTCATTGGACTAGCTGTAGCGATCAACCCCGAAGCCATTGCCCCAAAAATACCTGAATGGCTTTTTGTTGTGAGCTACTTTATGGCCTACTTTAACAGTTGCCTTAACGCAATAATCTATGGACTGCTCAACCAGAATTTCAGGAAGGAATATAAACGGATTATTATGTCATTGTGGATGCCACGGCTCTTCTTTCAAGAGACATCCAAAGGTGGAACTGAAGGAATGAAAAGCAAACCTTCACCAGCTTTAAACAACAATGAACAAATGAAAGGTGAAAGCTTGTAATGATTATAAGTTTTTCTATCTAAACTGTGGAGTCCCAGTTGTATACCCAACGACACTTACAAAATGTGACACATAATGTGAATTAAAGGATGTTGTAAGAAAAAAATGACATTTTTCTGTGATTAACTGATACTGTGTAAAGACTTAATTTAAAGTTAGGAAACATTAGTGCCATTCATAAATTGTGTAATATAGCTTATGGGTAATTTCTTTACATACACCTCAGGATGCCTATATTTTCTGCTGCTGTAGCAATATGCTTTTTAATTGGAAATCGAAAGCACCAAATATGTTTCTTTTTGAACGTTTATTTTTTAAAGTATGTGACAGCTTACTTATTCTTTTGTTCTTAATCTTTTTTCCCTTTTAAAAAGTTTGGTAAATGGGGATTATGTATTCAAAACATATTCAAGCTTTTCCTTGGTTCCCCACAAAAACAATTTCTTCAGGTGCTTCTACTTGTACTGTGATGTTAAAACAACAGCTTTGTGACCTGTTTGTGACTCATTTGAAATATGTTTAGGTTGTCTCATTTTGTTTAACTTAAGTTAGGTTTCTTTTTCCAGTATACAGAAGTATAGCATTTTTAATTACAGAGTACACTACACCTCTTATGAAACATTTAAAGCTCAAATTATGACAATAATTTTGTATTGTCGTCAGCCTTTAGCCTTAAGTTCAACACAATCTGTCTCACATATCCAAAAATCTGATTTACAAAATGCAACAAAAACATAAGTGCCCAGTTCTCTTTTCAGTAATTGCAGCAAAGCTTCATATTGCAAGTGTTTAATTGCTTCATTTTAAGTTTGTTCATGTATCTTTATACATAAGAAAATTATTTCAAAACAACTGGAAGGTTGCTTTAAAGTTGCTTGCTGGGATAGGCTGTAGCTCCCCTGCAACCCTGAATTGGTTAGAAAATGGACGGATAATTGCAAATGAAATTTATAAATGGTTTAATAGAGGTTGTAAAAAGCATTACCAAGTACTTCTGAATATATGTAAAGGTTTCTGAATGTGTTTTACACCATTCAGTGCCAGTATTTTCTACTGTATGTAGAGTGTAATAAGCAGTGATTTGCAACACCCAGGCTATTGTTATCCAAGTTGATTACAAATGTGCATGATCTGCTCCAAGGAAAAAGATGTATTTCACATGGTATTCTAAATAAAGAGACAGGGAAGTAAAAAGAAAGTTTAGATGATGCTGTCTGCTTTTTGTACAATGTATGCATGTAAAACAGATGAGGCTTCTATACTAAGGAGCTTGTTCTATACTAGCTTAAGGTTTATGATTTAGAGTGTAATTACAGAATTAAAACTAGTTGTTATATATAGATAATAATGCAATTAACTATAAAGAGATGTGTTAGAGAACTTCTGATGCAAAATGTGTTATAATAAAGTTTATTTTTAATATTAATAAAAGCTTTTCAAATACATAAAGATTTTCACCTGCAAAAGGTTTGTATTAGACATGTCATGAGATGTCATGATTTTACGACGATGGATAATATGATAACATGCCTTCAAAAGACATGATGTGCAAGCAGGAATTCTTACAGTATATCAATTTTCTAGGAAAAATGCCATTAAATATTGTTTCTACAGTTTTCTCTTGCTTTCAGAAACAGAAAACAATAAAAATGTTTTTTCATACTGGTTTAATTCCAGATTAATAAAAAAAAAATGATACAGTAATGTTTCTGGAGGCCTTTAATATTAAGAATTGTATAAGAAGCCCCCTCAAGGGCTGCAATCTATCAGGTTTTGCAGGTAACTACAAATCATCTACAGGTAAAGACCTTCAGACCAAACTAGACCAGTTTCATTCTCAACAGACCTTAATAAATTGTTTAGTAGTTATGTATTAGTATGATTAATTATTGACTAAAAATGTCCCCTTTTAAATCTTTATTACACTTCTAGCCAGTATTAAAAGACCTGTGTAACCTGCAGAATACAGTATGTGTTTCTAGAAAATGATTTTGCATATCCCTGATTTCCACAGTCATTATTATGTAAGCTCCCATTAATCTAAATTAGAAAAAGAAAATGTGCTAATTTCCTCAGAGTACCTGACATTCTGAAGTCTCATAGAATAACTGTGATGAAGTTTTTGCAGTTTCCAAAAGTGGAAAATGTTACCCTTAGGGATCAAAGTCCTCAGGGAGTTAGAATGTAATCTATTCCCAGGATAAACTTTCATGTTTTTACAGAGATCTGCAATAAAATACTTCCAACTAAGGGAAACTTTCAGGACAAAAAGCAGTGCTGAATGGTTGCTGATGGACACTTTTCTTTCTTCCTCATAAACCAGACACCAACAAATAAGGAGTTGTTAATAATTTACTGTAGGTACCAAGAAATTGGAAATTGTAGCTTCTTCAGCCTATGGCATAATTTTCATGGGTGTACTTTAGGATAGCTTTATTTTTGGTTATTGGTAAAAAGAGCATTTTCTGATTTTAAAGGTAGGAGAAGATAGCCAAAAGAAAAATAAGTGTATACATGGTTTGATTTACAGTACTAGAAATCTGTAAATAATCTGTTTTCTATTCCTATGGTGTTTTGGAATATGTTATAGCCTTTACCAGACATATATGTCAATAATGAACAAAACAGATACAAAGACATAAGTAGTTCAGGTGGGTAGCTGCGTCATCATGCGTAGGCTGCAAGGGAACAAGTAATAGGTTTATTCCAAGCTGAAAAAAAGAAGAGAGAAAACACAACGTTTCGGCCGTGAAGCCTTCTTCAGGTGCTCCTGAAGAAGGCTTCACGGCCGAAACGTTGTGTTTTCTCTCTTCTTTTTTTCAGCTTGGAATAAACCTATTACTTGTTCCTATAAAGGCATAATATGTGCCAATTCTTTTTTGAAAATCTTTATTACTTGAATTTTATAGTCTTTGTATAATGTCATGTATCTTACATATAATTCAGAGATAAAAAATAATCTAAAAAATATTTTATTTGCTTAAAGCAAGATATTTCTTGCTTTAAGCAAGATATTTCTTAAAGCAAGATATTTCTTGCTTTAATCTTCCCAAATGATTTTCATTACACTTACAGATACAGTAGCTTACATTATCACTAAAGCTTACATTATCTTACATTACATTATCAGCTATTCTGTAACAATCTTAAAGTTTTGTACATCAATACATTTGTGTCAGTGAATACAGTTCTGTATTGGGCAATGAAAACAATCAACTATTTAGTCACAGTATGGAAAATCCACATGGAAACTTTATTAAATTATCCTTTCATTTCCTTTTGCTAAAAGGCTGTTTTTGTTAGTAATCAACAGAATTCTAATTTGTGTCTGATGTTTGTTACCCATTTATGATGTGTGCCTCCCTATCAATTTACTGTAACTATCTGCATTCTGGCATTTCTTCTGTCTAGACACACACTTCTACATTCTATTCCTTTCTGTTAAATATGGGCATATGGGTGTATATATATTACATACATATTACATGTGCTGGATTTTTTAATTCATTACACAAATTACAGATTTTACACATCTGCCTTACATTTTAATTATACAAGTTAGTCTCTGGAATATTTTGCTTTACAAAAAAACAAAACTTTTCACTAATTTTTTTTTATTTTTCATGAAGGGTCAATGAATGAGATACTTTCTTTTCATCAAAATGTTAGTACCTTGTTTGCTGAAGTTCATTGCTGGACTGCTCCAAACATACATTACCATGTACAGATCATGTGAAAAAAAAACATCTGTTAATAATCTGTTCTTATTAGATACCATTTACAGTAGATACATTTATTGACAATCCACGTAGTCCAGAAATACAATATACAGTATCTTCTTTTAAAACATGGCTATTATAATGGGGTTCATTTAAAATAGAAGAGCAAATCATTGCAAGGATTACAGGTTTTTAAATTTCATGACTACAGAATATTTACACAATTACATTTTCAGTATCATTTAACTCTCTGATTCTAGCACCTTTGCTTAAGATAAATTACAATGACATTATTTGAGGGAAAAAAGTCCTAGCAAACGCAATATACTGTACATGTTTATTGGGAAGTTTATTCAGAAGTTTGTGATGTTATGGTTCTCACATCCTAATGTGTTTGGTGCTTGGTTTGTTATTTTTACATTTTTAGTTTTAAGAAATGCATTACAGGAAGAACATACTGACATACAGTATAAAGACTTCTTCTGGATTTGCCCAGACATTGTTTTTATACAGCTTTGCCTAATTCTCTGATTGCAGCACTCATGAATACTTACTTTTTTCCTTTTTATACTGTACTTTACAGATCAGATGCTACCTCGTGAAACAAATGAAAATAAAAAAGCAGGCAGTGGGAGTTTTCAAAGGTCTGATTTTCCACAAGATTTTCCTTTTTCTTGAGTTTTTAATAGCACTTTGGAACAGGTGGCAGAGAAATCATTACTTGCTTCATAGAATAAGAATTTGTCGTATTTCAAAGATTTACAGAATGTTCAAAGGGACTTTCTATTCTTGGCCGCCTCATTAATATGATATCAATAGAGACCTGAAACAGAAATAAACAGGGAAAGAAGGTGTACTGCCTTCTTCTCAATGCTTCACAACAACACAAACATGAGCAAGACGGGGAAAGGAATTCCTATGATCTGCTATGATCTATGACTTTAAAAGTATGTGTTGGTTCAGCTTTGCTAATTGTAGGTAATATACAGTATATTGCTTATGTATTCCCAGAAGACAATCATAATTGAATTATCATATTACACCTTTTCTCTAGGTTGGCACCAGTAAGAAAAGTTGTGATTTCAAGCTACTTCTTATTATCCCAACTAAAAAAGGATTTGACCGATTCTGTTGTACTCTTAGTCTCACTGAAATAGAAATCCCACCATCCTTTATGTGTGAAAGGATCACAGTCTGAGTTCCTTTCTCATAAAAATATTATCTCTTACCTCCCTTCTATGTTGCTCTCCCTTGTGCACTCCAATAGGGAAAAAAGTGAAAAACTGTGGCCCTTCAAGGAAAAAAAAATGAGAGCCTAATTTTCCTCTTAGATTTTCATTTGTCTTGTGTATTATAATAGAACACCATTGTGTATAGGATTATCAGATTAGCTAGGTAGATAAAGAAAGATTGGATCAAAGAGATATGATATAGATTATGTAATATTATTATATTGCTAGTTTGTATTATACAGATTATGTAATATTATTTTTCTAGGTGTTTTTAGAAAATTGAAAGAAAAAAAAACATACCTGGAACCCAAAAAAACCTTGCAAGAGACTACTTTTCACATTAATAACAATTTAAAAAAATAATAAACATGAAAATAAGGCACTGACAATCGTGTTCTTACAGTATTTCATGTGTAATGTCAGTTGCATAATTTTGTTTCTTTAAATGTGTGGTTTTACCACAATTTGGTATGGTTTAATCATGTACTTGGCTAAATGTTTTTCTAATATTAATATAATGATTTGTCCATTGACTCGTGGTTATAATAAGATTTGTAATTGATACCAATGGTATTTTTAACAAAATACATATTTGTTAGGGAAAACAATGAAATAATATTTTCATCTTTTTCATTTAATTTTTTTTTTACCAAACTATATCTGAAATCTGAATACCTTTCTCTACTGTAGGTTCACAAGCATACAGACCCTTCCCATTGCAAACTACAATAAACTCTTTAAGAAAAACAACTTTGGTATGGACCCTTTTATTAGCATTCCTCACTCTTATTTGTGTTATTGATCCATCACTATCACTTCAGCCCTTCTTACATGAGTCAACAACATGGTAAAAACTGATCTGTCGCTCTCTTTAACCATATCTTGATGAACATCAGTAGCTTAAATACTCTGCTCTAAACTCATTGCTCTGTATTGTTGCTATAGTGGGATACTACCACAGCTGTTTCCTTAATTGTTATTCAGGCCCACAGACAATTGTGATTATGCTTCTACAGTATGTACAGTAGTTATTTTCCCTAGCTGCCATGTTAACAAAATTGAATATATATTGCTTGTAGCAACAGGTTACTGAATGAAAGAACAATTGAACACAATTTATTCAAAGCTAAGTCTATTAAAAATATAAACTAAACCAAAAACAAATTGAAAACGTGCACAGAATTTTATTTTGAGCTGTCTTGCTGAAATGTAGTACACAGCTAACTTAAAGTAAATATTCTATAATGAGGTTGTTTAGACTGTATTATTAAAACAAATTGAATGCTGTGGAGAAAATTAAGGTAAGTCAGGATTACTTTAAACATGTATTTTTCCCCATTAAAATATAAAAATGTTCTT